CGAAACTGTTTCGTTCACTGTTGTTGTCCTTCTCACCCGTAGTTAATTGACTTCTTGCGCGTTATGGGCGCCTGGTACTTCACCAAATTTGCGGACAAGATATTATATTAAATTTTATAAAATATTTTACGTAAGCTTACACGTCTTAACGCTTTCGCGGTCCGAGGGGAAGAGGATGTCAATCGCTTTATCGCTTTATTGTAGGATCGTTAAGTTGTCTATTATCAAACTCAAAATATCTTTATTCATATAGGTAAACAAGTTCACTTATGAACGTAAAAAAAAAGTTAAAATAATTGTAAATTTACATTTATTACCAGTTTGCAAGTCAAGGGCGTAGAGCGGGTAAGAAGAACTGGCAAGAAACTTTCTGCCACTCTTTTTAATCGCCAAGTATTGAGTCATACAAATTGTTTGAACTGGAGCAAATCAATCCCAAGGATTAGGATCATTTAAGTATTCGTCAAATTTATAAAAAGCTTTATTGATTAATTTACGTTTAGGGCTTTGAATTTATTTAGTGATAATTCTCTAATTTCCCTTGGGAGTTTGTTGCAAAAACGAATACAATTTCCATATAAGGAGTGGTTTATCTTCTGGAGCCTGGTTGGCCACTCAAATTAGTTTTATATCGCGTAGTATACTGGTGAAAGTCACCATTTGTTTTAAAATCTTTTATATTTTTTTTGTACATACAACAAGGCTTCAAGAATATATTGACCAGATAGTGTTATAATATTTAATTCCTTAAACTTATTCCGTACCGACACCCTCGGAGAAACAAAACAAATACCCCGAACAGCCCGCAGTCAAGCTACGCCAATACGCCACGGTACTGAGTGCAGTTTTATATACACTACCTAATTATATCCAATATCTAAGTAAAATGTTATCGCGAACAGAAGTTGAATAAAAGCAATTGATAACCGACGTTATTTTTTATACCTTTATATATTATAACTCTTTGGTTTGTACATTTTGATAAAATTTAACTTGTTAATCAAGTGCTATTATGTAACACTGTATTTTTTAGCATTAGTTAATCATATGAATATATACTTATAATTATTTTAATTTAATTAATTAATTTTTTGACAAACTTGTTTCTTTTTAGTGATATTATGACTGAGGTCGGAGAATTTAGAAAAAAATTTTGAAATGTGGTTTTGGAGGAGAATGATGAAGATAAGCTGGACCGAAAAGAAGACCAATGACCTGTTCATTGGTCTTCTTTTCTGTTCTTGCTGCGTATGGTCGGAGAAAAACGAAATCGGCTGAGTACCATAGTAAACCGGAGAGGGAAGATGATTGGACACGTGGTGCGACACGACAACTTCTTTAAGATCATCTTGGAGGGGAAGATAGAAGGCAGGAGAGGACGAGGAACGCCGAGAATAGTTTACATACACCAGATCAAGGAAAAAGCTGAGGTCGACATAGCGGTCAAGACACTAAATCAGAACCGCACTGAGTGGCGATTAATCCACAGACAAGAGCCCGGCTCTTAAATTTGAAGAAGAAAAAGGGTATACTCATAAAAATAACTCTCTAAAAATACTCTTAATCCTACTAAAACGAAATTAATTCTCTTTGCAAATACAGTACGATCTTTACCAACTGGAAATAAATTCAACTACACACCTGCCAATACAATATACAAAATAAATGTAACTGCACCTTCCAAATAAATAATAATAAATTAAACAAATAGTATTAATTTTATCCCCTTAATATCTATGAATGTAAAATAAAACTGGTTGAATGGCTAAAAACTCAGAAATATAATGAAATAGAAAACTTGTTTGCTAATGTAAAATTATAAAATTTTCCTATTTAAAATATCTAACTTCAGTCCTAAGAGTGTTCAGAAATGTAATTTAAATATAAAATGTTAATACTAAATATTAGTTTCCGTAATTATATAAATTATAAGGACAATAAATTCATATCTCAAATTCAAGTTTCTCATCCACAAGATTTAAAAATCTTTGAATTTCACATTTACTACGGTCTAACCAATTGCAACAACTTTTTTTTTAGATTCTACCCTCATTTAGTTTTATCAACAATAAAAATATAACCCGAATAAACATCTAATGACAAACAACTTAACGAATTTGTTAAAGACACTGGAAGGAACTAGCGTTTAAGATACAGGCTAGGCCTAGTTTAAACGCTAGTACACATATAATTATTTTATGTACGAGGTTAACCAAAATTAATAGTGAGAACACAACGATTCGTTGCATATTTTATGTTTATAACCTTTAGAATATATGTACAAAATGTAATTGTTTTTTCGTCAAATAAAGTGATTTTTTTTTAATATTAATTTCTATTATAATTTCTTAGATGACAGATATCACTCTTTTTTTGAGTTTATTGAATTGAAAATGAGGAAATACAGAAAAAAACAACTCCGAAGACAGGACGACGACAAAGTGATCCTTTTTTAGATCTAGATGATTCGAAATTTATAAAACGGTATCTGCTTTCAAAGGAGTTAGCTCAAGCTTTGTGTGATGAATTAAGACCCCTTCTAAGTCAACCAAAAAAGTCTACAGATTTGTCGCTTGAGCAAAAGGTAACATAGTAATTCTTCATGATTATTTAGTACATTATGAAATCATAAATAAAGTGCCTCCAAAAAGCTTGGTGTGCTCAGTAAGGAAAGATGGTACTTAGATTTATGATTTAGACGGTACTTAAAAATTCTAATCGTTCTTTTCCATACCTGTTTAAATTTATTTCAAACACAGTTGACAAATTTTTTTTTTTACTTTTCGTTCGTAGGAAAATTTCCAATTGTATAGAATACTTTTGTGTTATGTTATTTAGTTTTCATATCTTGTACTTTAGACATATCATTAACATTTATTACAAACGAAAACACACACACAAAATAACAATACTTAAAGAAAAAAATAAAATAAGAAAAGATAAATAAATTAAAAATTAAAATCAAAAATTCCCTTTTGCCATTCGGTTCGCTTCCAGTGTGCAATGTGTGTGTACTGTGGTTGTAATTGGTCCTGGCTCAGCATTATGCTGAGGAGCAAAAAGTTCCACAGCGCTGCACTTTATTTGCAGAAATGACACTTCGTATTAACTTAATTACTTAAGAATGTTTAAAGTGAAAATTTTATATTTATGATATAAATTCCATTACATACTTGTGTAATCTCTATGATTCCGACTGAAGCACTCTGTATCTACGGTTATGAAATAAATTAAAGAAATGACCAAAGCGCATACCAGGGCTGCGAGATGTACGATTTAAATCGTACTTGGACGATTTTTGTCATTTTTACTCATGTACGATTTTTCTGTACCTGGTAACATTTCATAATGAAACGAATATATATTCCACCGGCAAGTATTATGTTCGGGGAATGAAGACCTTTTAAGTTATCTATAAAGTCTATATTTGTGTGCATTGTTATAAAAGTTATTATTTTTCTCTTGTAACGACTTGTCTTGGAATTTTTCAAAAACCTGTTTTTCTTATCAGTCTTGAGCTCTAAGTAATAAAAGAGGATATTGATCTGCATACTGTCTTTAGTGTTATTGTTTAAATTCAATACGCTAAAGCAAGAATGGGTAGTGAAAGTGATGAAGGGCGACCTTCGCCATGTACTACAAAAAAAGAATTCTACATCAGATAGGGACAAACACAGAACACAAAAGTAAAGTCCCGATTGGGAAAAATTACATTTATTTAAGGACTGGTTAGGGCCCGGTAAAAACCTATTTAAAGCCAGGTGCACTATTTGTGACGTCGACATGGTATCAGAATACGGAGTTTTGAAGATACACTCTTCAAGGCAAAAGCATATAAAAGCCATGTCGTAATATCATGTCAGCATTTGTGACTAAAGGAGTTGTGCCCAAAAATCAAGTTGTTATAGTGACTGAAAACAAGTTGGCTGCTTTTCTAGCTGAGCATAATATTGCGATGCAAGCTGCAGATCATATGTCAGATTTAATTAATGGTATATTGGAAGAATAAGTGTAACCCAGAGAGCCATGGAAAGAAGCATAATAAAGAAAAGAAGAATTGACAAAATTAGTAACAAGAATTTAAGAGATAAAACAGGGTTGTGTATAAAACAAAAGTACTATAGATTCCAAAATTGTCGTCCCTTATTCATTCCCTAGGTCTAAAATCAGCAATATTTTCCAAATCCTTCTGCCAAAACCAACCTAGGAGTTCAGGCACCTCTCGTTCGAATTCTTCGCGATTTGAACGGATTGAACACAGCTTACGCGGAGCTGGATATATTCGGTAGTGGGCTGATCGGTTTTAGAGAAAGCATCGTGGGGTGCTTTTCTCGAACCTAATTCGTTGTTTTTCTGATGATTTTTCTTTTTTTCTGCTTTAAGTACCAACAAATTTCTAGTAATTTTATTTTATTGTGTGCTTATCTTGTATATGATTTAATTGTGTATTTTAATTTCTATTTTTTGAAAAATTATGTTTACTTTAATTGTCATACATTTTAAATGGACGAGTTTGTAAAGTAATCAGTAGATTTAGTATTATGTATTATGTCGTAAACTTAATAAATAAATAAGTCATTTTCTAGCTGGCATATATCGACTGAAAATATGATTGGTTTTGGTTCAAATGGTTGCAACGTGATGATGGGTGGGAATAACTCTGTGGCGAGCAGACTCAAGAAAAATTTGCCAAGTATTTTTGTAATAAAATGTGTTTGCCACTATGCAAACCTTTGAGAATTTGAATCGTGAAAACAGTTACCAATACGCTGCGAAGATTGAGTTGTGTTTTGTTTAAACAGTTTAAAAAGGCGAGATAAAAGAAGAACAGTCGACGCCAAGCGGAAGTAATATCTTAGAAGAGCAAAGCAGTACTGAGCAACTAGTTTCCACATTGGCTTGCAACTGTTGTCCGAACTCAAAGAGGTCCAAGCCGCATGTGCTGTAATATATATGACCCCGTCTTATGCTTCAATATGTTTTTTACTGATGCAATAATTATGGAAATCGTACGATGGACAAACGCCGAGATATCATTGAAAAGACGGGATGCTATGACAGGTGCTACATTTCGTGATACAGATGAGGATGAAATTCGCGCTTTGTTCGGTCTTTTGGTAATGACAGCAGTGAGAAAAGATAATCATATGTCTACAGACGAACTCTTTGATCGATCTTCGTCAACAATAGAGGCGAACTCTAGCAATAATTTAGTACAACTCAGCTCAACACAAACATGTATTATTACTAACAACAACTGTTTAAACTTGATGCATCAAAACATGTAAGGTATGTTGGGCAAGAATTAGAATTGGAGTTAATTTTAAAATCAAGTAAAATTGATGTCCTTTGCATTACCGAACATTGGCTTAGAGAATGCCAAATCATCTTTAACTTTGATCAGCACCAAGTTGCAAGTTCGTTTTGCAAATTATTAATCATTATTATTAAATTATGATTAGATTACTAACAAGCCAAGAATGTATGGCATAAAAATCGTCATGATGTGTGACAGCGGTACTAAGTACATGATAAATGATGGCAGGGGTTGATGGGCTCTAAGCCCGAAGCTACTTAAGCAGCTAGAGCAATGGGTTTTAATAAAGTGGCTGTTAGTAAATTCTACCAGTTGCTTGGAGAAATTTACGACAAGCATAAATTAACTCCTGACAAAATATACAATTGTGACGACACTGGTATCTCTGTTGTATCTAAAACCAAGAGCAAAATATTGGCCATGAAAGGACGAAAACAAGTGAATGTCTAAATACTAAAAGGGCACATGTCACATTTTAACCCAATTTTTTTTTTCTTTAATCACTAGTCAAAACATATCTAGACCGTTTTATGTCAAAACAGCACTTCTCCGCCCTTTACACGAACAGTAAGCGACTTGTCTATTCTTACTTAATACTAAAACGGCACTTGTCCAGGGACATGTGCTCTTTTAACAATTAATTTTTGAACGCAGCCTAAGGCGTCAACAAAAAAATAAACGTCACCTTCATTCGGTTTGTGTCTATGGTTTTGTGGCGGTTTTCTTTCTGAATCTTTTGGTTTCTGGTATATGATATATTATTATATATTTTTTGATTTTTGTTACGAAAGAAAAGGAAACATGGCGTTCGTCATGAAAAAGACTACAGACGGAACCAGATAAAGAAATGTAAAGTAACTGGAGAAAGTCACAGAAATTGGAAAGAGCGATATGTTCCTGGAAGAAACGATCCGGATTTTATTGCCCTTAATTGGTAAATTATTTCATATTTCAATTCATTACCAGAAATTCACTACGTTTCATACCATATTTGATACTATATTAGTCCAAATCTAATAAACTCGCTACCAGCTACACTATTTACTAATATAACAAGAAACAATATTAAATTTAAATTAAAAAAATATTACATAAATCAAACAATTATTAATTATGCATAACAAAAATCAGACATCGTCATTTAATTCATATTCGAATATTGGAACACATCCTGTATTCGAATGAGAATTCTCGTCAAGAACAGGTTTCTTGCATCGGCTAACTGTGGAGCGTCAATGTTTTAATTGGTTTATTACGTTGTTCGTGCAATTTTGATGGTTTAATGGTAAAAATGTTATATTGTATAGTATGTCTACACTACTACACTGGCCTAAGTATGTAATAAGTTAATTATTTAATAATTATTAGTTTATTATTTAATGTTGGACGTCCTGGTGGACAGAAAAACTGTGTCCAGTTTGTATTACCACCACACCAACTTCTTCCTATTTAAGAACATGTATACAATAGATAAATAATTTAAAAAAAAACTAGGTAAAAATAGATTTTTCATGTTTCAGTTGCGGTAAAAACTGTCTGAATAAAATTGATACCAAAGAAGAGCTTGATGATGATCTAATTTCGTTTTACTCAATGGGTTCAAAGAACGAGCAGGACAAACATCTTCAGAAACTGATAGAGCTAAAAAGTGTGGAAAGGAAAAGAGGTAGAGAGTCCACTTTGATAACCACCAGAAAGCCAAAATTAAAAACTGTTCAGTACTATTTGCTCCTAAACCGTAAGCGAATTAAAGTATGCAAGAAAGCATTTATAAATGCTCATAATGTCACCCCAAAAAGGATTTGCCGCATTGCCAATTTATTGGAGAAAGGTGAAATTCCACAAGATAAACGTGGCAAGCATCCTTGTGCAACTGCAATCTCTGCTGAAGTGTGTGAAAAAATACATAAGCACATTGCTTCGTTTGCCGCTAAAGCATCACACTACACATCAGATACAAGATATAATTCATCAGCTGACCTGTCAGTTAGAGAAATGCATAGGCTCTTTACACAGAAATATCCTGAGATGGACGTAAAATATCAGTTTTACTGGCAATACTTCAGAGCAAACTTCAGCCTGTCTTTTGGTAGACCTGTTGTAGAAGCCTGCTCTCAATGTGAATCGCTGAAAGCCAAATAACGAGACAACGCATTGAATGAAAATACTAAAAGAGCATGTGTTGCTGAGCTTTTGGTGCATAAACGACGTAGTAATAAGTTTTATAAAAAAATTCAGGAGTGCACAGAAAAGTCAAAACAAAACAATAGAATACTTTCGTTATGCTTTGATTACATGGCTGTTACAGACTTACCGCGCATACCAGTCCAAGACATTTATTATTCGCGGCAGCTGTCTGTGAATGCTTTTGGAACTTGTAACTTTGCTAACAACGAAGGTACTGCTCGCAAATCCCCTGACGATGTGTGTTCACTCTTATTACATTATCTAGAGAATTTTTTAGACAGTGAATATGATGAGCTTAATCTATTTTGCGATAATTGCGCCGGTCAGAACAAAAATCATGCAATGATACGATTTTTGATGGCACTTGTTGAAAAAAAATGTTCAAAAAGATCAACCCGTACTTTCCATTTCGTGGGCACTCTTTTCTCCCATGTGACCGTAGCTTCGGGCTCATTAAGAGAAAATTGAGGAAAATGGATAGAATTTATACTGTGGACGAATATGTCCAGTCTGTAATAATGCAGAGTTCCCAAATTAAAATCAAATTTATTGTTTATTTGGTAGATCAATGTAATATATATAATTTTCAAGAATGCTTTCCTAAATATTATTATAAAACTAAAATATCGAAAATTTCACAGTCTGGGGAACTGAAAGAAAAATTATTGATTTCTAAATACCATGAGTTCCAATTTAAAGCACAACAGTATAAAACTGTTCTAACTAAAGAATTTATTGATGGCCTTACATCTGCCTGTTTTGATTTAAGGAAAACAAATCAAATAAACTTGCAACTGCCTACACAAAAAATGTACAGCTCTGTTGTTCCCATAGCAAAGAAAAAAATGGTTGATCTAAAAGAACTCCAAAAATACATTCCCGAAGAATACCTGTAATTTTGGAATAGCATTTATAATTGGCCTGTAGAATAATAAGAATAAAACTAGAATAAGAAGAATAAAACTAGAATAAGAAGAATAAAACTAGAATAAGAAGAATAAAACTAATAGGTGATTAACGAATACATTATAACATTTTTGATTAACTTTGTGATTGATTTTATTTAAATATTACTTAGATTGATTACTATTTACGTGGTAAAAGGGCACATGTCCATGGTAATACATACCTAATTACTAAAAGGTCACTTGTCCATGATATTTTTATGGCTGTTTTTAAGCATTCACACAGAAATATGCAACTTTTTAATATGGATTATGTTATGTACATTCTCAATAGCATACATAAAAACCAAGTTTGTATCTTTATTCTTTAAAAAACTATACAGTTATTTCTATCTCCTGTAAAATTTCATTCAGAAATAAATAGGGGACCAAGTGCCCTTTTAGTATTTAGACATTAAAGTAGGCTCGTTATCATCTGCAGAACGCGGCCAGACTTTTACAGTAGAAATATGTTTTAACGCTGCTGGAACCTACATGCCTGCACTGATGATCTTTCCGAGACAACGAATGAAACCGGCGGCGGGTACCTCGGCATAGTCAAAGTCGCCTTTTGGAATTCTAAAAAATTCAACTAAAACGTCGGGCGGCGGTGTTATGGTATGCACGAAAAAGTCACTGCATGCGCAAGAGATGTCCGAGTGGACGTGCGACGGTGTTGAGTGTACCTGGTTGACTATTCCCGCCAGAACGGTCGCGTTAAATGAATGCAATAAACGCGAACTACATATATGTATTGTATACATACCACCAGACGATTTGCAGTCTGTAAGACTTACAGCCTTTACAGATTCCCTTCTATATATTTATTCAATTTACCCCACATAGGCTGGTCTCCTACCTCTGACCCCACCTTCTTTAGGCGTGGAACTGTAAATCTGCAAAATGCGGGTTCGAATCTTGTTGAACCATGCAGTAATCTTGGCTTCAGTCAGAACAATTTTCATACAAACTCCTCTGACAATGTACTAGCCCTAATATTTAGTAGTGACACATACATTGTGGTGTCTAATTCTGATAATTATCTTGTTAAAGAAGACCCAAGCCATCCATGCCTGGAACTCAAAGTATCGGATTTATGACGCCTAATATTAAATTAAAAAAGGATACAAGATACAACTTCACGAAGGCTAACTTAAGTAAAATAAATGAATATCTGAACGGCATATTATCCTTAAGGGTGTTTGAATATGTCCTGCCGTTGCAGCAATGCTTCCGGTGCTTTAAGTTCCATCATGCTGCGAGGGTCGGACTTAGAAGCTAGCCGCAAGAATTTGGGGATGACTAATATTGGATTATGTTGGGGTTGGTTTACCCTTTTAAATGATACCCCCCTAACCCCGCGGAGATGCTTAGTTTTTTTTTAAATGCATTTTAAAGTGCGTATAAAGGAACGTGATTTTTTGTATAACATATTTATTGTAGCGAAATATTGTTGTAAAACCAATTCGTATTTTATCAAAATACAATATTTTTAATGTTATATAATGTTATGTTGTTTATAGTATTTATTTATTATTGCGAATTTTTAGTAATATTTATTTGAAACGGAACAAAACGTAACATTTCACGAAACGTCATATAGCGAGCGTCTTGTTATGCGTTTGATGCGCCATTCCGTTGCTATCCTGCGTACGCGAGTTTTGTAATTCCGAGTTTTGATATTTTTTAACGACTTTTACTTGTTTTTGGACTCCGATATCTGCACAATTATCGACTATCGCTTGTTTTTTGGATTCTGATATCTGCACAATTTATCGACCTTGGCTTGTTTGTTGGATTTAAGTCTGCAATACGTGATGGACTTGTTAAAATGGCGTCGTCAGACGAATCTGCCGCCGCTCCTATTGAAAACGAAGGTAAAAAGAATTAGCTTTTCTCTACAAAAATGTCTTTAAAGTAAAGATACTTATTTATACACACCTCTACTAAAAGATTTTTCTGCGGAAATTACTCGTTTTCGAGATATTTTATTTTAATCTTTCAAATTTTCAATACATTTTATTGATAATTTATACTTACAGTCTATCAATATATCTATGTTTCGCGGGACCTTTCATCATTTTTGGTTTATTAATCATGTCTTTATTTTTAGCGGGGCCATCCACTTCTCACTCTGTGGAGTCAGGCTCCAATTTTGAAATAGATGACCTCTATGCGTGCCGGCATTTATATGTGGGCGAAATATTGCCTATGTTCAATTTACCTCGGCTTGTCAGGCAACTGGGAACCCGGGAGCAGTGTTTGGCTTTTGCTGAAGAGCATGGGCTCATTTTAGCTAACAAAATGTGCCGTGCACACCGCCAGCTCATGCGCCTGGATTTGACGGCTAACCACACAGTTGGGGCCTTTGTATGTAGCAGAGGGAGCTGTAGAGCCAAGTCCCGTACATCAAGGCTTGTACTTGTGCTTGTCCAGGGCCACCATCTCAGACTGGTACAGTTATTGCCGAGAAGTAATTGTAATTTATTATTTAGAAACTCAAGAAATAAAAGGAAAAATAGGTGGCCCTGGGAAAATAGTACAAATTGATGAAAGCAAATTCGGCCGGCGCAAATATAACAAAGGTAATAAATAAGTCATAATTAATTATAATTTTTTTAATCAAATTATAATTTTTTAAATAATTAATTACTTATTTCTATTTTTAGGAAGACGAGTTGAAGGGCACTTGGTCCTAGGTATGATTGAAGATGGGAGCGAGGACTTGCGCTTGGAGGTGTGCCCGGACAACGTGCGGTCTGCAGAGGTCCTGGTGCCCCTGATAAAAAAGTACGTGGAAGTGGGCACCACAATCCACACAGATTGCTGGCGTGCTTATGATAGTCTGGCAGAGCACGGGTATCACCATAAAAAAGTTAACCATAGTGACCCGGATAATCCATTCGTTGCAGCAGATGGGACTCACACTCAGCGTATTGAGTCCCAATGGCGTGTGGTGAAAAGATTTTTTTATAAAGACAATTATAATCATCCACAAAACTTTGGCGATGTGATTGTGGAGTATTTGTGGCGAAGAAATGTAATGAAAAGTAAAAAAGATTCGTATATGCAATTAATTGAGGCAATTAATTATATATGTCGTGGGCTTATCGTTAGATTGGCCAGATCGAGATATGCCCGGGCACTTCTTGAAACGCCGGCACATCATGATTCGGCCGGGCATATCGCGATGCGCCAAGTAAAAGGTTGGGCAGATCGACGAGAATAACGTATTTGTCGATATTCCGCTGTCTTCGCGCGCTCGGCTTTGTTTACGCGAGCGGAAGATGGCGGCGTTACAAACAAGTGAATGTGGTGTTGATATTATCAAAATGAACAGTGAAAACGAAACAAAAAGTGCATTTAAAGAACAATATTACCATCAGTTACTTGATTTCTATAAGGGACATAAAGATTCTTCGCACAATATAAAAAAACCATGGACTTCTCAACGTATTTTAGAGGTTAGTATTTAGTTGATAAACAAGTGTTTATTTTTGCATAATAATGTGTAGGTGATGCGTTTCTCTCATGTCATTATGTATTAAAATTCTTAGATTGATTAAGTAACTAATGTTTGTACGCTAAAGTTCCATTTTATTTTTTAGGTTATTGAACAAATAAAAAGAAGTAGGGTGACCATGCAGCGGGTCTCTTCGGACTATTATTGGAGTGCAAAATATGATGTCATGGAAACTTCTGACAAAGATTACTTAATTTTCAAAAGAAAAACTGCCGATGATCCTACAGTGCGCATAGTCGCCGTAGATGAATATTTTGATATATTAACAGAAGTTCACAAAGCTGTTGGGCATGGTGGCAGAGAAAAAATGATATATAGTATTAAAAACAAATTTCACATACCGAAAAAAGCTATAGAAATATACATTAAATTGTGTGCAGTGTGTGAAATGAAACGTTCCATGCCAAAAAAAGGTATAGTGACAAAACCAATTATATCACCAGATTTCAACTCACGAGGTCAGGTAGACCTTATTGATTTACAATCAG